TCTAGCTATTCTATAGACCAACATGGCTCCCCTCTGAAACAAAAATTGACTTCTTTTTTTTAGTGGGCTACAGTTTATTGAAACAATCTGTATTTATTTGTAATTGTATTTATTTGGAAGTAAGCTCCACCGATTTCAATGGAATTAGCTTATTAGTAGGTATCATTAGGACCACAGACTAATCATTTATAATATTTATACTACAATACCCCCCGAGAAGTTGGCAATTTCCTGTTCTCAAACTACCTCCTTAAAATCATCCCATTAACATTCTCACCTAGGTTTTTAATGCTTCTTAAGAAGGTCTTATTTATGCATGTAACTTTTGTGTAAAAATCTGTTTTTAGGAGAACTGTTTAAGAAAACAAAAGAAACAAGTATGTATTTTAAAGCCTATGGGGAAAGCAGTGATCATGAAAGTTCGTTTGATGAACCTTTACTATAACCATATTGTGGAGAAACTATATACAAGCTGAGGAGTGAGGGGAAAATACATGTAGCATTAGTCCAATATCATCTTCTCTAGCCAAACATAATACAGATCAATATCCCTAAAAAAATTAAATATTTGTTATTGCTGAAAGACAAAATGACTAAGATGTATTTAGAAACTGCAGTTTAACAAGACTTTAATTCCTCAGTAAACAGGAATTGAGCCCTCAGGATTGTGGCTTTTGAAATTAGGGTGTGTTTAGACTTGGAGACTGCTCAAACTTCTTCCACATCTCGAAGGGAACGCGCTATGCCAAACATATGTAATCAGAAAAAACAGTGATTACATTTTGAAGAGAGATCATGAAACAAATGCTCCCATATGGTTTTGAGATCAAATAGAATGCCTGAGAACTAGCACCACAATGTTTTAAGTTGAGAGAGAGTGAGAGGGAGAGAGAGATCCTAAGGAATCGGCAATTAGTGCAGTGTGTAAAAAGTAGCAAAAGAGTTCATATAAGATAATCATCAGTTTTTAAGTATGTTATAGGGAAATTGGGAGATTCTATCAGACCTTTCCAGTGCTCTTCCTCCTTCCAGGGAGGACAAACTGGAGTCAGAGACAAAAGGGGAGCAGGAATATTTTGGCTTCCACAGTCTTAATACTGCCCGTTGAACTGTTGAGCCTCAGCAAAGTATTATTTAACACACACCCCCGCCATTTTTACAGCACACAGGTGTAGGTGAGGCTGCTCCAGCTGTACAACAAACTTCCAGGTGGGTTACCTTTCCCGTATGGATTAGCAACTTCTCTATTTTTCTTTCCCCCCCCCCATTTGAAAGGGAAGAAAGTAGCAACTCTGATATCCAGGGGTGATATCACCAGTTCATTAAGCCTCTAATGCATTGATTGCTGCTTGATGAACAGGACAGCTGTTATCACCTTCTCCTCACTCTCCCTTTCTAATTAAGCAACAGCCTGCAAATAGATTGTTTTCCTTCCATCTCACTCTTCTTTCATGGTGAAGCACATCCAGTCTCCATAACTGGCACAGAAGTGGTGACGATGAGGCATTTCCCTTAGGAGCTGCTTATTAGTAGTAAGAATAAATAGCAGGTATCTGGACCAGGCTTATAACAAAATGCCCTTTCCTTCACAGGCATCAGATGCCACCCCCACCCCCCGCCAAGCAGGAGTAGTTGGCACTGCAAACAGGAAGCAAGTGTCACTGGATAAGATTTATACAGCAAAAGCTTCTTTGATGATGCTCCAACACACTATTTAATGTATTTAATGCATTTCTATGCTGCCTTATCTCCTTGCACGAACAATGTAGCAACCAAGTTGCAAAAAAGGAGGGAAATCCAGTTAAAATCAAAATGCACAATTGACCAATTCAAAAGTATTCAGACTTAAAATGTATTAGACTTAAAAACCTACAGGATCAGAAAAGTCCCAGCTAACTCTTCTGGAAAACTTCACACTCTACCAAATGATCTTTGGAACAGGACTGCCTTACATGACTCATAAACATAGCTAGGGAAGACATTCTCCTCACCCACTCTGGCAGGCTGTTTCAATAGAACACACAACAGAAAAGTCCACGATCTTGTTGTAGCTGCCCAGACAGTCATAAGAAAGGGCGGCTTAAGGAGGAGACTGTCTGAACAGTGTAGGTGGGACAGGAGAGTATACTGGAAGATCATGAATCATAGAATGTTAGAGTTGGAAGGGACCTTGCAGGTCATCTAGTCCAACCCCCTGCACTCTGCAGGAGTTCATTAGCAGAATCCAGGCTTACTAACTCTTTGAAAGCATGGGCAGACATATTTTTTACATGTCTTTCCACTGTTACTGTGGCTTGTAAATTTGTTGTAATCTACCCTTGAAGGTTCCTTATAGATGTAATTCAATTATTATTAATTATATTATTTAAGTATTAAATAAGTTTTCAGCTTATGACTGACTTCTATTGTTATTCACACAGAGGGCAAAAGGTTTGAAAAGCATTTTGCTGTGCCTTAGAGTGAATAAATGAACTTGGAAATAAGGGTTGGCTCTGCCTAAGCCTCTAGCGCTGCTCACTTTGGGGAAAGGGAAGTTAAAAAGTGATTTGCATTTGCTTCTCATTACATTAGACTGAGCCACTAGAAAGGACCAATGATGCCCAGCATTCAGCCCTTGCTTTTTTAAAGTGTGAAACCTTAAAAAAATTAATTGTTGACCTGGAGATCCTGGAGGTTTTTTGTCATCTTCTGGGTGTGGAACAGTGGTCAATGGGGGTGTGGAGGGGGAGGTATTTGTGAATTTCCTGTATTGTGCAGGGGGTTGGACTAGATGACCCTGGAGGTCCCTTCCAACTCTATGATTCTATGACCAGGGCTCACTCCTATTAGCTACTACTAAACACATTTGACAAACATGGGTAAAAAGGAATTGCTATTGCTAACAAACAACTGGTAGGTTCAGAATGGCTAAAACCAATGTTTAAATCAGTGTTGATGAAACTCAGCATCAATTAAAAGATATAAAACCAATGAGAGAGCCATATGACCAGTAAAAGCCCTAGTAAAAAATACACTTTCTGTTCCTCAGCTGCATTTCTATTCACTTGTGTATTGGCTGAAGGAATTGACAGAGGTTCTCTCTCCACTGGGAAAGCTAAGGGAATAACTGAGGGAAGGAATTGACAGAGGCTCCCTCTCCACTGGGCAAGATAAGGGAATAACTGAAGTGAATACAAGAGGAAAGCTCTGCCAAAACCTCTTGTTCAAATGGGGAGCAAAAGAAGAAAATAAGTGGCTATCTGGGCTCTCATGGAAGAAATATGTTCATTGTGGGGTTCACTAAAACTTTAACCATGATTCTTATGCTATTAAACCAGGAGCATTTGCAATGTTATTTGGAAAGCAAGTAAAACAGAAATTTAATAACTTCTGAAAATTAGAAATATTCAGTAATTACAGCATGGCATTACAGGTCTGTAGGTAGAATACATGGTTTGGTCCTGTCCACAGCTATCATTGGGAATTTCACAGTGCAGGGTGCATTAGTATAGACGTTGCCTACAAAGCAACCAGCACTGGATGCATGACCTGCTAAATACTGCAGATGGAAAGAATCTCATTCAACAGTCCGAGCTTGTGCACAATTCAAAATGTATCCATGCATTATAAGTTGAACACATTTATACTTCAATTAAAGTAACTATACATTTCAGTACCATCATTAAAAATGAGCTCCAGGGCATATACTGTTATAGCTGAAAAATATATTGTTGTACCCATGCAAATTACTAACAGAAGATAATAGCGATAACAAAGGTCATAGTAATTTAGATGATGTTTCTCGGTTCCTCCATATGGCTGGTATCTCCCAGAATCTTCAAACTGATTCACATGGAGAAAGAAGCCATCTCATACTCACTACAACTGGGTACTGAGTTAAACCTACCATACATGACAGCTTATCTTCAACTGAAAATCCACAACAGATGCAAAATATGCCTTCCTATTAACCTCCTTAGTACTGTTTCCCACACCCAGAAAAAGCTTATTTTTTTTCATAATGTCTTTTAAAGCACTTTTATATTTGCAGCATAACTTGGACTTTTTAAACAAATGTTTGCCTAGCAACATTTGTGACTTGACAGCTTCCTCTTTTAATGTCAAAGTAGGTCAGTAGAGCGTAAATATGAAAGTGAAGCAGTGCAGAAAATAACAATCAAATAATGTAAGCACATATAAATAGAACAAAGCAGATTTAAAAACAATTCTGTTAAATTCATTCAGTTCCCATCAAAGTTAAAGCGTTGAACTACAAAACCAAATTCCTGGTATTAACACTGATTTTTCAATTACGTGCAATGAACAATTTAGGGTTGCCAGCCGGTAGGATTTTGAATGGCTGCCAACCACTGTCTGGATAGAGGTGGAGATATGGGGGACACTGTTGGTGCAACAGTGTTATGTCACTTACAGAGGAAACCTGGCAGTGACATAACTCCAGGAACCACAGGAAATGATATGGTAAAACCAATGGCAGTATTCCCCCCCCCCCCACTACTGGAGCAACAAGAGGCAACAGGAGCTGGGTAAATGGTATCCCCAAAACAATCAGAAACACCAAATGCATATTTCACAGTCAAATAAATGGCTGTCTATTTAAAACAACCATATCAAACATATTGCAGCATAAGTAATGTTTGTTCATCAAAATAACATTATTTTTCTGTTATGTTTTTCCATTATGCTAGGAAACATGTCTTGTAGTGCTATCCTAAGCAGAATCCACCTTTCTAAGCCCACTGCATTCAATGGACACAGAAGTGTAACTGTTCTTAGGTTTGCACTGTAGGTCTACTTTTCTAATGTAATGTCTCCAAAGGATTATACAGTTCCCCTGACGGGGAAGACTTCTCAGTATCTGCATAATGTTCACCATTTCATTTTCACTGCAAAACTGTTCCATCAACAACAGAACTTCTGTAGCCACAAAATCAACTTTGCTGGGCAAAGAAAGTGTTCAAAGACATACAAATGAGTATATTTTTTGCCTTGTTACTCACATTTTCATAAAGGGCTTGAAGGGTCTCTAAGTCAACCACAGAGTTATCCAAGTTCACAACAGCTGTGAAAAAAGACAAAAGTGAAAAAGGATTACATGTCAGGATGATAATCCATCTGTGAAGGAAAGACTAAGCACAATAGTTTTTTATGACCCGCTGGTCATACAGCTTAACAGCTTAACGTTTATTAATGCTTTGAAAAGTGCTGCGTCTAAGATTGCGGACAAGAAACCCGGTGGAGCCAGGTGTCAAATGTTAAGAAATTCATGGTCCCTTTCCCCTCCAAGACATACACAGGATCCCATGAGTACAGCAAAAGTCAAAGATCAGAGATAAGCTTTACATCAGAGTTTCATGGTCTGACTAAAAGCATTATAACAAATAGTAAGTCTATTACAGCCACACACACCAACATAGAGACACACAGAGATCTGTCACTGGTTGGGTTTCACTCTTAAACTGATTAATCCATAAATCAACCAGTGACCTTCAAGACACCTGACAAGGGTCAAATCTTCTATGCACCAAAGCCAGAGATTTACTACACACATTTGCTTTTCTATTCCAGAAGTTACAGCTATGATGTGCCAAAAGATATGCCTTACTATTCCCTTTAGCATGTAAGCAGTTCAGTTAGTCATTATACATACAACACATTCAAATCAAACTGTCTTTATCATTAATAAAAATACGAAGAAGGAATTTTTAGAATTTAATAATACAAAAGTTACTAAAATTTCAAATTTATGCAAGCAGGTTGAATTTAATACTAAAACGAATACCCTCATTAAACAGTAGTCATTACTGAAAAATGTTTTTAAAAACAAAATAAAATGCTGATTTTTAATACACCAAGATTACAAATGAAGAGAGGAATTTACTTCAAATTACTGTCTTCTAGCAGATAGGATGCTTTCAGAAGTGTGTGCATATGTGCTGTTGATCTTTATCCTTTCTGGTTAGTTACATGATGCCAGAAGTGGAGGTCACTGTATAAGAGGGAGCCTTCACTTCAGCTGGAAGATTCGGAGAGCTGCTATCTGTTTTAAATTTACCAAGTTTGGATAAAGTTGATGAAGTTTGTGGTTACACCTTAGTTCCATGTTTTCTTTGTTGAGGCACATATTCTCCTTCTCCTGCCCTGACAGACAACCTTCATTTTTGAGACAGAAATGATGGAAGTGTGACCTCGTTGGTTATGCTGGACAAACAAGCATGATTTACTTATCTCTCCCTTATATATAAAGCCGTAGTGGGGCCCAACGTTCCAATTCACACCAACAGTGTTTGGAGGCTTGAACTGTCAGTCAGAAGACGTTGGCTGGGTTGCCTGGCTGCTTTGTGTAGTCCCACCCACGTCAGCCCTAGCCAGAGTGTTCAGGTCAGTCTGCTCTGGGCCTCTGACAGGAGAGGACCATCTGCAGACTGAGTGCAGGGACGGGGCTTCTACAGCTGGGCCGCTTCAGCCCACTCTTCTCTGATTGGGCCAGCATTTCAAGGTCATTTGCATATGGAAGCTGATTGGACTTCACTCCATTCCACACCTCAAACTCCCTCCCCCCCTCTGCAAGACAGTTGGCATTGTCAGTTGCATATGGGACCTGCTGTATTCTGAGGTAAAATATGTCCTCACTCACAATACATCACTTCCCCTTCAACAGAAACAAACCCAATAACACAATCATGCCACACCACAAAAAAGACAGATCACACCACAAGCAGAATACCACAAGGCAAAAAATGATAGAAAACGGTGCCAGCAGTCACCCCATTTCTGCCACAGATATGTACCAGAGAACGCTTCAGAGAATGGTGTGCAGGTCCCAGGTTCATGTTTTAAAAGCTGCCTGTGGGATTATGGAACATTCACACACTTTCAACCTTAACATACCTCATAGGGTAGTTGTGCGGATCATATGGGGGAGAGGAGAATGATGTCAGCTGACGTTCAATGATGTTTGTAATTTCTATATTTTCAGGACAAAGGACGTCTGACACTGAAGATAGGTGATACGAACATCTCGAGTGGTAGTTTGTTTCGAGACACAACTCTTTTTCAACCACAATTCAGATTCTCTGGTTGTCTTTTTGTGTACAGAGGTAGTATCAATCTTTTCCGGACTTGTTGTCCGGACTGAAAACTAGTAAGCCTGCGTGCTGTATTATAAACTTGTTAGCCTATGTGCTGTTGGAACTGTTGTTGGAAAAGATTTATACTACCTCTGTACACAAAAAGACAACCAGAGAATCTGAATTGTGGTTGAAAAAGAGTTGTGTCTCGAAACAAACTACCACTCGAGATGTTCGTAAAAATCACCTATCTTCAGTGTCAGACGTCCTTTGTCCTGAAAATATAGAAATTACAAACATCATTGAACGTCTTCTCAACAAGTTTATTTATTCATTTTTGGCTATACAGTGCTATTGTGTGAACCTAACAGCAATTTCTTCCATTATTGTTGTATCTTTAAATTGCTGGTCCCCTCTGTAGATTTAATGGCAACCCTAGGCCTGCAAGCATTCTCAGGGTGACTTCATGCCTCCAGACTGGCATGGCATCACTAGCCCTGGCTGCTTGCTTCTGTTCAGCAGGAGCATCCCTATGGAAGCTGCCTGGGTGATTTCGGACCAGCCACAGACTTTCTGCCTAACCTACCTTACAGCGTTGCTGTACAGATCGCAAAGCCGAAGAGAATGAAGTAAGCTGCTTTGCTCCCCGCTAATGAGAAAGACAGAATTTTGCCTAGAAAGAGGCTGCTGAGATTGGAGGAGATAAAGTTGCCAGCTTTAGGTATGGAAATTCCTGGAGATTTGAGAGGTGGAGCCCGGAGAGGGGCCCTCAGATAGACTCCACCCTCCAGACCAGCCATTTCGTCCTGGGTAACAATTGTTGCCAATCTCCAGGTGAGGGCTAGAGATCACTCAAAATTACAACTGCTCTTCAGGTAGCAGAGATCAGTTCCTCTGGAGAAAACAGTGGACTTTGTCATTATACCCTGCTGAGGTCGCCACAGCAAATTGACACTGTTTGCCCAAAGCCAAAGCACTCTCCCAGAGCCTCTTTCTAGATCTCGTTGTATTTATTTCCACAACGAGCCTTATTCCTAGTTTAAAATATTATTCCTTTAGAATTAAAATATTAATATTCCACCTTTCCCCATTTCTCAAGGCTGCTTACAAGCTCAATTTAAAATATACAGTAAACCCCCTAAATCACCTCTCTAAAAATGCCTCAAGCAGCCTAGATATCATTAAGAGCCCTGGTACATAAAAGAGTTATGTACCTCCTCCTGAACACCACTAGACACAGCACCTGCCCCCACTTCCTCAGGGAGCGTATTCCATAGGGTGGAAGGTATGGAAGGTTCAGACAAAGACTGAACAGCAAATTAACATGTAACATTAGAAAGGTGTTTTAAGATATGCAAAGATAAAACTAAATAATAAGCTAATGGTATAAGGTCAACAGTTGTTTTGATTTAATTAAGGGAGAAAAGGACAGCAAAACAATAAATATGTCAACATAGGGGATAAATGCATAAAGGTATCTATATATCTAATTCCCAAGGCGCCCCCTGCATGCAGATATCTAAATCCGCACATCGGGGGCACCTGGGGGGCAGGGAGATTTTCCTGCGCACGTGGGGCAATGCCCAGGTGTGCAGTAAAAAAAAAATATAGGGGGGATAATTAAATCCCCCCAAAAAGTAAAAGAGCATCTGCTGCACATGCACAGGGAATGCTCTTAGAACGGCTTCCCCGCCACCACCACCAGAGAGGGAGAGGGGTGGGGGGAGAGGGCTTGGCCAGCCGACAGCTGTAAGCCACTCAGGCCTTGCCGGGGGGGAGGGGAAAAGTTTGGTGGGCCGGCGAGGCCTCACCGCTGCCGCCGGGGAGGGAGGGATTAAGTTTGGCAGGTAGGTGAGGCCTCGCCGCCGCTGGGGAAGGGGGGAGGGAGAAAGTTTGGTGGGGCAGCGAGGCCTTGCTGCCGCCACCGTGAGGGGGTGGAGACAGCTTGGCAGGCCGGCAAAGCCTCGCTGCCGCTGCCTCTGCTGCTGGGGGGGAGGTTTGGTGGGCCAGCAAGGCCTCGCTGCTGCTACCGCCGCTAGGGGAGGGAGGAAGCTTGGAGGGGTGCAGGCCTCGCTGTGGGTGCCAGGGATGGGGGGGGACAGTGGAGAAAGCTCACCTGCGGCTGCCATCTTCTTCCCCCTTAATTACATCAAAACAACTGTTGACCATATAACCTTAACTTGCATATCTTTGCATATCTTAAAATATTTTCCTAATGTTACATGTTAATTTGCTGTTCAGCCTCTGTCTATAAATTTGACCTATACTTTCAATTCCAATGTATTTGAAAAAGTGTGCATGCACCCGGAAGCTCATACCTTGAATAAACCTTTGTCGGTCTTAAAAGTGCCACTGGACTCTAAATTAACTCAAGATGCTGATGCTGATGGTTGTCTGTAAAGTTGTAAATGGCATGCATTGTATCTTAGGTAATACATTACCCATTATGTTCCCATCACCTAATAAGACCTACAGGTGCTTTAAGTTCTATCTACTCAGGAGACTAAATGGTTGGGAGCCACAGGGTAGAGCCTTTTTCAGTGGCAGCTGTGGAATTCCCTCCCTAAGGAGGTCTACTGGAGCATGACGATGTGAAGTTTCAAAACATAGGCATTTGGAAATTTCCCGAAACTGTATTTACTCTGAATACTGCTTTGTTCCTGGATGTGGCATAGGACTAGTTTTCTATTGGGTGTTTTAAATTACTTTTTACTTTAGCCTGTTTCTAGTGAATCTCTACACTGGAAAAGCAGAAATCCTTTTTTTGTTTTTTGCATCTCTCTTTTTTTCCCCTGTCTTGTCTAGATTTGCTTGCTTCACTGTTCACTGTATCAAGTCTGCTTACCAGCCAGAATGTAAACTGAGGAAAAACCTTTCTAAGCATTTCCACTGGCAATCCCTGATAGAATCCTGACATCAGATGACTTGATTCTCTATAAATCAGTACCCTTCACTGCTGCTAAATGATTCTGTGTATACACCTCAAGATTAG